CAGGAGGACCAAAAGAGACCGCGCTTGACTTGGTAGGCACGATACAGCGTGGACCTGCCCATGATTTACTGGAGCACTCACAGCGCTTGTTCACGCATCTCCCAGTCAATACAACGGTAGATATCCGATCTGAAAACGTTTGAGTAGAATTTCGACGTCGACTATGCGCTGTCTGAACGGTACAGTCAGCATCAGTACGGCAAAAAGCCTTACCGTGCACCTCCACAAGTTTATTCTCCTCATCCTCGTATTCATCAAGGTGATCTAGAATCCATTGACACGTAGGATGTGTCGCCGGATCACAACCAATGCTCATGTTCGAACCAGACGACAGGTCTTGATACACACGAATGTAGTCAATCTTCAAATGCATCGGGAACGAATCGCAGATAGCATTCGCAACGGGGTCCAATCCATCACCACGGCACGGATTCTTCGGATTCGGCGGTTGTGCTCCCCATTTACTGGACATGGCGACGTTGAAAATGATATACATCGGCTCTTCGATCATGATCTTACTGGGGTTCTGGACACTTGCTCCTTGTGGAGGATCCGTGATCGTCTTGGCTGGGATCTCGTACAGCGGATCACCGGACAACATCCAGCGAACGTAGCCATTTGAGCCAGGAACCCACTCTACTTGGTACTCCACAAAGTCTGTATACACGGCCATGTGCACGGGCCAGTTCGCAGAGAGAGCATCCATTTGAAAGGCGAAGCTCGACCCGTCCTGTAGTAAGACTGGTACGCCATCAAGAGGTTTGCAACTCGGATCAGGATTTCCAGCACTGCAGATAAACTCGCCCATGTATGAGTTCATGGCAGAGAAGCACGTTCCGTTCGAGTTGATTCCCCAGCGATCGTCACCTTCAGCATTCATGTAGTCGAGATCAGAGTTGATATCTAGCGAAGCTGGACATGTTGTGACGGAGCACATGTTGTCTTCAATACCAACGGTCAGAGCAGCTTCCACTTTTGTGTAACTTTGTACCTCGCTAATGTTTCGTTGACAGAAATTATTAGCAGCGTAGCGCATGTTTTGATACCAGGATTGATGGCCACGTGTTCCAAGATACACGCTTTCTGGAATCCCTGGGATGTTGGCACCTAAAGTTTCACACGAACTCGAGTAAATGCAGAGCTTGTTCTCGCCAGCTGGTGGGATAACTCGAAAATCCGGCGGCATGCCTGGTCCCACTTGGATTGACGACGATATTGTGGTGCCTCCGCCTTCGACGATATCGATCTCGGGTGCCCCACGCCCTTGGTGAGGATTCATCCCGGATCCAGGATCTGCATCACAGGCACTAATTCGCTGGTTTGTCGGCGTTAAGGTATCGGGATCACAGGCGTCATAGGAGAACGGCCACATCCTGTTAGTCGAGCCGCTAAAGATCGCGCGACCGAGATTCCCCATCATCCAGATTCCAGGCCACGTCGGATAGTAGCGCAGAGATCGAGCTCGAGCACTCGAGTCCAAAAGAATGTCGGGGTTGCCGGATGTTTCGGTTAGAGCGCCGGGCAGTTGGGCTCGAACTTCAATCATACCACCTTGAATGCAGAACTTGTTCCAAGACTGAACCATACCTCCGCGGTAGAACTGACAAGCGAAGAATAGTGAGGTAGGTATAAATACTTAGAAAACTTGAGATCAGTACTTACGAACGTAACGTTCTCGAAGCCTGGTGTTTGGAGGTAGCTGGTCCAGACTTGGAGCTGGATAACGGCGTCTTCCAACTCGATCTGGAAGCTACAAACACTGCTGGCTTTATCACATGCGGTAGTGGTTTTGTTGTGCGCGTAGATTTCCATGGCATCGTTCACGCCGTCCGGTTTCTCGATGGATGTCCACAAGTGATCGTCTCCAGGTCGAAAAGATCTCCCGGGAGTATTGAACTCGTCGCTCATTACCAGATCCCATGTATGACCGCGTGACGTCTTCCATGTATAACGCTCGTGTGGAGTTTCTGGATCCACCCACATCTTGAGTCCGGACTGCGTCACTAGCTGGTTGTCAGTTCTTCTACTTGGTCGCGCTGCCCAGCAGTGGTGACCCACCACCAACCAAAGCAACGAAGGTATCGCCCAAAGCCTCGGCAAAGCCAGCATCGTGCCGAGTGTTTTGACTTATACTAGAAATTCACTGTTGTACGAGGAAGGCGACATGTTCTTGGGACGGGACCATAACTGTATCGCGGGTTTTTCTTCTAATGGTGACGCGCATCCAGTTTCTACAAATTATCATTGCAAAGCCTAAGTTGATGTATCTACAAATTATCATAGTAAAGATGAAGCCTGAGCTGATGCTTTCTGAGTGATGGGCCGATATCGATCTTGCCTAGTCTGAAATATCATAATATCTGGTCAAATACTTTGTATAATACCAGATAATCCTGGTAGTGCTACAGTACGTAAGTAGTACGGACAGGGCCTTCCTGCTGTGTGCAATTAATTTTTGTGCATACACATGTCAAATTAATGGGTTTTTTATATAGTCAATTTGTATCGATAATTCGAGGCGTACTACTTCACGCAGGCCCACTGGTGGCCTCAATTTGTGATTGTTGAGTTTTGGAGGAAAAAAAAACATCCCTGGCGTTTCTAAGTGACAGTTCAAGGTATTTTACATGTTAGTGGGCCTGCCATGACAAAACAAGCTTGACATTTGCATTCATTTCCATTGGGCCTAAGGATTTTTTTTTTTTTTTT